TCTGAATCCAGACACATGGCCACTGCCTTTTTTTTAAAAAAATATATTTTATTGATTTTTTTTTTTTTTTTTTTTTTACAGAGAGGAAGGGAGAGAGATAGAGAGTTAGAAACATCGATGAGAGAGAAACATCCATCAGCTGCCTCCTGCACACCCCCTACTGGGGATGTGCCCACAATCAAGGTACATGCCCTTGACCGGAATCGAACCTGGGACCCTTCAGTCCGCAGGCCGACGCTCTTTCCACTGAGCCAAACCAGCTAGGGCGGCCACTGCGTTCTGAACAACTGCCCCGCAAACATATCCAACTCATCACTCCCCCTACCTGATTTCATATAGGGATGTCCTCTCTGCCCACATTGTCACCAGGCCTGAGACCTGGATTTGGCCCTGGACTTCTACTCCCTCACCCCTCCCATCGAATCAACCACGAAGCCATGTCTATTCCAGCTCCCAAACTTCTCTCATCCACCCACTTCACTCTGTTCCAATTGCCTGGGACCAAATACCAGGCCTCATGGCCTCTATGGCCCTCAGGTTCCAAAACTAACCTGAGGGAGAAAGAGAAATGACGCTAAAGTCTGAAGATTCGCAGACCTGAACTTGAATTCCAGCTTCACTACCCCTTGGCTGGGTGACCTTGAGCAAGTGACTTCACCTCTTGAAGCCTGGTTTCCTCAAATGAAAAAGTGTCTCCCTAACCATATCTACGTGCAAAGCCCTTGTCACAGGGCCTGGCACATAATAAATGTCCGTTAAACAGAAGCTGCTATTGTGATCTATGACATGATTTCCCAAACCTCAGTCCTTCCTTCAGAACCTTCATGATCATTCTCTCACCTGTTCTGCTACTTACCTAATATTTTTCTTCAAATCGGTTTATTTAAAAAAAAAGCCCTGGATGGGTTGATTGGAGTTGTCCTCCCGTACACGGAAAGATTGTGGGTTGATTCCCAGTCAGGACACATACCTGGGTTACCAGTTCAATCCCCAGTGGAGCATGTATAGGAGGCAAAGGATCTCTCTCTCTCTCTCTCTCTCTCTCTCTCTCTCTCTCATCAATGAACAGATCCTTTGGATGAGAAATTATTTTTATTTTTTTAATATATATTTTTAAAATATGTTTTTATTACTTTATGGAGGGAGGGAGAGGGGTAGAGAGATAGAAACATCAATGAGAGAGAAACGTCAATTGGCCCCCCACCAGGGATCAAGCCCGGCAACTCTGCCGGGAATCCAACCATGACCTCTTGGTTCCTCGATCCATGCTCAACCACTGAGCAACACAAGCTGGGCTTGGGGAGGATTAAAAAAAAAAAAAAAGGACAAATGTCCTTTTTTTAAAGGAAATGTTATTTTATCACTAAGGAAGTCAGTATCACTTGCCAGAAATAGACGATAACAGTAACAATAAACACAAAATTATTAACATTTAAAATGTTTGTTAGTAATAGAATAACAGATCTTGGGGGGAGGTGGGCAGGAAGAGATTAACCAAAGAACACATATGCATACTAGAGGCCCAGTGCACAAAATTCGTGCACTTGCATGTGTGTGTGTGTGTGTGTGTGTGTGTGTGTGTGTGTGTTGGGGGGAGAAGGAGGGTTCCTCAGCCCGGCCTAGTAGTCCAGGAGCCCTCAGGGGATGTGCCACTGACAGCTTAGGCTTGCTGCCGCAGCCCCACCCCCACCCCACTGCACTCGCCAGCCGTAAACCTGGCAGCTTCTGGCTGAGCTGAGCTCCCCCTGTGGGAGCACACTGACCACCAGGGGGCAGTTCCTGCATTGAGCATCTGGCCCCTGGTGGTCAGTGAGCACCATAGCAACCAGTGGTTCCACTGTTTGGTCAATTTGCATATTACCCTTTTATTATATAGGATAGACACAGACACTGTCATGGGGAAATCCTGGGGTGGGGCAGGGGTTGGTTGGAGGGGGGCAAAAAGGGAGAAAATGGGAGACATCTGTAATACTGTCAACAATTAAATAAAATGTACAACCTAAAATCATTTCACTTGCCTCTAGCAACACGTTACATTTTAGGAGACAGATGATGTTACAGGAGCAATAGTTATACATGGGTTGCCTCGCCATGACTATCTAACTAAAAGAAAGGGGTTTAGTGGAGGCTTTTCTCAAATCTGGATTTACTAAGCAGAGACAACTTTTTAAATTTCCAAATTTTAAAAATCAATAGCAAAATTTCATAAAGATGCTTTTATTCACACTTTCTATAAGACAAAGTGTTAATTTGTCCGTATTAAAGAATGGAAGAAGAAGGACTGGTCAAAATTATGGGGGGGGAAAGAGGGTCATATGTAATACTTTCAACAATAAAGAAATTATTAAAAAGAATGTTTATATAACAATTAAATAAAGCAGGGGCT